ACGCACATGGCAAGATTTGTGTGCCTGACAAATCTAAAACCCTAAAACTCATCTAAAAGCCAGGCAGCCACACTAACCAAAGGAGTTCTCTAGGGTCTGGCAAGTGGAACACAAACAGTTGTGACAAAGCCCTAGTAGTCTTTGCCACAACTCCAATGCCAGAGATACAGCATAATGGTGTAACATTAGAAAATGTTGACCATTTCCGCTACCTTGGCAGCCACCTCTCCACAAAAGTCAACATTGACACCGAAATACAACACCGCCTGAGCTCTGTGAGTGCAGCATTTTTCCGAATGAAGCAGAGAGTGTTTGAGGACCGGGACATCCGTAGGGATACCAAGGTGCTTGTTTATAGAGCTATTGTCCTCCCAACCCTGCTATATGCCTGCGAGACATGGACAGTCTACAGATGTCACATGCAACACCTGGAATGATTCCATCAGTGCTGCCTCCGAAAAATCCTGCAAATCTCTTGGGAAGACAAGTGGACAAATGTCAGTGTGCTGGAAGAAGCAAAGACCACCAGCACTGATGCGATGGTCCTCCACCATCAACTCCACTGGACCGGCCACATTGTCCGAATGCCCGGCCACCGTCTCCCAAAGCAGTTGCTCTACTCTGAACTCAAGAATGGAAAACTGAATGTTGGTGGACAGGAAAAGAGATTTAAAGATGGGCTCAAAGCCAACCTTAAAAACTCTGGCATAGACACTGAGAACTGGGAAGCCCTGGCTCTTGAGCACTCCAGCTGGAGGTCAGCTGTGACCAGCAGTGCTGTAGAATTTGAAGAGGCACGAATGGAGGGTGAAAGAGAGAAACGTGCCAAGAGGAAGGCGCATCAAGCCAACCCGACCGAGACCGCCTTCCACCTGGAAACCAATGCCCTCACTGCGGAGAAGATGCAGATCAAGAATAGGGCTCCAAAGTCACCTACAAACCCACCACCAGGACACCAAACTTGGAAGACCATCATCCTCGGACTATGAGGGATCACCTCGTTAGTAAGTACTAGGGTCTGGCAAGTGGAACACAAACAGTTGTGACAAAGCCCTAGGAGTCTTTGCCACCACTGTCACATCTTGGCTTGCTGGTGGGAGAAGGTTGAACATATCATTCTGTTGTGTGTTGCAGGACTCTTTGGTTTCCATCCCTAAAGGAAAGTAAATGTCTGTTCCTTTTGTGACGCAAAGCACATACACTTAGAGAAAAATTCGCAAATAACCTGTCTGATGCTTTAATTCCATAAAAATCCACAGAAGGCAACAAGAACTGAAAAATCATGCTATTGTATGATTATGCTTATTCATTTTGAATCAAATTGCTTGCACTTGCATCCCCTGAATTTTAATAAACTTCTGTGGCTTGTTTTCAACCTGGTGAGTTTGTTTCTCTGTCCTAGCCTATCTGGTTTAGTTTATGCTTGCCAGGCATGGATACTCTTAACGACAGTCCTAGCTGAAATCACTACATTATGTTAACTCTTTTTAAGTTATTTTATTTAAAGGTGGTGGAAGGGAACATATACAATATGATATGTGTACCCAATGAACAAATACTTCTAGTTTCACCTACACACATTCAACAACAGTTGACGTCTGTGATAACTTCTGTCAGAAGCCATTCAATAAGATTCTCTGTTTTCCATGTTTTTCTGTGATATGTTCAGAAACAAATTCAGCACAGATACCAGAGTCATCCCTTTTTTTAAGATGGATGTAAGACCTTTCTGGTTAGTTATTTCGGCTGCAAGATTAATTCTAGGAACTGGGGAAAAACTTTTTTCACATTGCTAATAATGGATTGGATCTTGCATCAGAATTGTGATGTGTAACTTTGCAATGACGGATATATCACTGCACAATCTGGTGCGATGTATGTGTCCAAATAGATGACATTTCCTACAGTGCGATGGAACACATTGCACATCAGGTTGTGTTGTTCACTCTGCAATAATCATGGTGCTGGTGGTGGCATTTATATAGTGGTCCCAGAAACATACATAAATTTCTGCTCCACACATAGAATCAGAGAGTTGGAAGAGACCTCATGGGCCATCCAGTCCAACCCCCTGCCAAGAAGCAGGAAAATTGCATTCAAAGCACCCCCGACAGATGGCCATCTAGCCTCTGTTTAAAAGCTTCCAAAGAAGGAGCCTCCACCACACTCCGGGGCAGAGAATTCCACTGCTGAATGGCTCTCACAGTCAGGAAGTTCTTCCTAATGTTCAGATGGAATCTCCTTTCTTGTAGTTTGAAGCCATTGTTCCGCATCCGAGTCTCCAGGGCAGGAGAAAACAAGCTTGCCCCCTCCTCCTTATGACTTCCTCTCATATATTTATACATGGCTATCATATCTCCTCTCAGTCTTCTCTTTTTCAGGCTAAACATGCCCAGCTCTTTAAGCCGTTCTTCATAGGGCTTGTTCTCCAGACCCTTGATCATTTTAGTTGCCCTCCTCTGGACACGTTCCAGCTTGTCAATATCTCTCTTCAATTGGGGTGCCCAGAATTGCACCTCAGAATGCACAACAAATAAGATATTGTATGTGTAGTGTGCATTGGAATTCATGTTTTTTCAAACTGTAGTTGTCCCCTTAGACTGTTGTCTACATGACTGTGAACTGGCCATCGGCTTTAAAAGTTTTAAATTATAGTCGTGTGGGATTTGTAAGGCAAATGTTGTTCATTTTCTACATCACTTCTGTTCCCTAGAATGACTAATGCCCAGAAATAGAAAGGGTTGCATTTTCACACTACAGCTCCTAAAATCCCTTAGTCAGCATGAGCTAGTGAATTCTGGAAATTATAGACTGAAAAAGTAGTACTACTTTCATTCATTGCCCCCCCCCCCCCCAACCAGTCACTGATATATATTTTCTGTTCGTCATGGGAGTTGTGTGTGCCATATTTGGTTCAATTCCATCATTGGTGGAGTTCAGAATGCTCTTTGATTGTATGTGAACTATACATCCCAGTAACTACAACTGACATATGTCAAGGTCTATTTTCCCCCAAGAGTGCCTCAAGAGCGCTCCTGGGCAAAATCAACTATACTGCAAATGCTTACTTTGCATGGATACTCTTAACGACAGTCCTAGCTGAAATCACTACATTATGTTAACTCTTTTTAAGTTATTTTATTTAAAGGTAGTGGAAGGGAACATACACAATATGATATGTGTACCCAATGAACCGATACTTCTAGTTTCACCTACACGCATTCAACAAAATAAGCCCTTTCTAAGAATTTTGTAGGTCCTCCAGTTGAAGTCTGTGATAACTTCTGTCAGAAGCCATTCAATAAGATTCACTGGTTTCCACGTTTTTCTGTGATATGTTCAGAAACGTATTCAGCACAGATACCTGAGTCATCCGTTTTTTAAAAAAAATTTTAGGATGGATGTAAGACTTTTCTGGTCATAGCTATTTCAGCTGCAAGATTAATTCTAGGAACTGGGGAAAAACCCTTTCCACATTGCTAATAATGGATTGGATCTTGCATCAGGTTGTGTTGTTCACTCTGCATTAATCATGTTGTCTACAGGACTGTGAACTGGCCCTCTGCTTTAAAAGTTTGAGAACCCCTGGTTTAAATTATAGTCATGTGGGATTTGTAAGGCAAATGTTGTTCATTTTCTACATCACTTCTGTTCCCAAGAATGACGAATGCCCAGAAATAGAAAGGGTTGTGTTTTCACACTACAGCTCCTAAAATCCCTTAGTCAGCATGAGCTAGTGAATTCTGGAAATTATAGACTGAAAAAGTAGTATTTTCATTGATTGCGGATAACACAGAGATATGCAGTGCCTATTTATTTATTTATCRTGTCATCTGCAACCAGAACATTGTATTACATTTCTAACAGAACAAAACAAACAAACAGATTAAAAAACCTACAAATTTTGAAAACTTGGTAGCTGATTAAATGCCCTTTGACCTGTATCTGGCCACTTGGAGTGCCTCTGGTGTTGCCGCAAGAAGGTCCTCCATTGTGCATGTGGCAGGGCTCAGGTTACATTGCAGCAGGTGGTCAGTGGTTTGCTCTTCTCTACACTTGCATGTCGTGGATTCAACTTTGTAGCCCCATTTCTGAAGGTTGGCTCTGCATCTCATGGTGCCAGAGCGCAGTCCGTTCAGCGCCTTCCAAGTTGCCCAGTCTTCTGTGTGCCCAGGGGGGAGTCTCTCATCTGATGGTGCCTGATTCACATGGACCTCAGAAGGTTCTCTAAAAGCTTGGTTACCTTTCTCCAGTGATTAGTGGAATAGCCATATTCAGAGGTGACCCTAGGTAATTTTCAATGGTAAGCAAACAGTATTTTGGTGCCCCACCTCCCAACCAATCACTGATATATATTTTCTGTTCGTCATGATAGTTCTGTGTGCCATATTTGGTTCAATTCCATCATTGGTGGAGTTCAGAATGCTCTTTGATTTTAGGTGAACTATACATCCCAGTAACTACAACTCGCATATGTCAAGGTCTATTTTCCCCCAAGAGCGCCTCAAGAGCACCCCTGGACAAAATCAACTATACTGCAAATGCTTACTTTGCGTAATGGGTTGAGCCGCCCCTGTACACACACACATCTTCCATTTATCTACTTCCATAAATGCTTCTCTTTTCATGCATCATAGGTTCAGAGCCCACTAAGAACAAACTGTGAAGACATCTAAGAAGATGGAGCACTAGAATGGGAAGTGAAGACAGAGTCTGGTATTCCATTTCTCCCTCCCTACGCACACTTTTTTTGCTTCATGGCAATATGTGTGGGAGTACAAATAGAAAAAGACAAGCACCCACCCAGGAAAGGACCCAAGAGGAGTGGCTTCCCTGGAGGAAGTCTCAGCCCACCAAAGCAAGCACAGAGACTAGGCATGTAGAGGACAGTTGAGTAACGATGTGGTTTCCTCCCAAGGGATGTGGGCGTTGCACTCTCTCGCCTACATAACTCAGGTCTCAAACACAGAGCCAGCCTATTTGCTTCCCAGCGCATGCCATTCAAGGCACTTGACTCAGATGCCGCAGGGTTGCCACATTATGGAAACTGGAGTTGGATACCCATCTGTTTTTGTCGTGGATGCCCCTCAAAGGAATGTCCCCTTCGTGCCACCTGTGTCAAAAGGCCGAAAGAAATGGCAACATGCCCAGCTGCTCCTTTGGATCTTCATGCTGCTGATGCTGATAGGTTTGGTGGTTCAAGGCTATTTCCTGCTCTCCTTCCGAAAAGAATTGACCAAAGCTGCAACACAGGTCAGGCCCAGGGCAAAGAGGACAAGGGCTTGGGGGAAGGAATGGGACACAAGCTGAGAAGAGTTTTCTTCTTTAAGGATATGAAATACAAGAGGAGGATAACTAGAACTATGTCATGGGTTGGAGTGAATGGTCCTTGAGGTCTCTTCCAACTCTATGATACCATGATTGTATGCATCAGGATGTGGAAATGAGAACTTTCCAGCTTTTCTGGAAATGTTTATGTTGCGATGGGCATTCATAAACCATTTTTTCAGATATTCAGAGATATTTCTGAACAACAGCTCCCAGACTCCTCGGCCAACCGGCAAAGTTCTTCAGGCAATTCTGCAAAATGTTTTTCCAAGGAGCAATTTCACCAAGTTCTTGTATTGTGGCAAAGTGTGTGCGCATTTGTGGGGTGTGTGTGTTTAAATCAGGGGTCCTCAAACTAAGGCCCGGGGGCCAGATATGACCCTCCAAGGTCATTTATCCAGCCCTCACTCAGGGTCAGCCTACATCTGAAACAACTTGAAAGCACACAACAACAACAACGACAACAACAACAACAACAACAACAATGTTATCTCATTAGCAAAAAGCAGGCCCACACTTCCCATAGAAATAATAATAAGTTTATATTTGTTAAAATTGTTCTACATTTGAATTATTGTGTTGTTTTAAAATGTTTTTTGCACGACAAATAAGATATGTGCAGTGTGCATAGGAATTCATTCATGTTTTTTTCAAATTATAATCCAGCCCTCCAACCGTTTGAGGGACTGTGACCTGGCCCTCCGTTTAAAAAGTTTGAGGACCCCTGGTTTAAATGCTCAGTTTCACTTAGTTTATTTCAGACTATGGAGCTAATCTTAAAAATGGAATTGACTTTGTTCCATTTTAATGAAATACTGTTTAGCGCTAACGTCTTTTAAAAAGAAATTCCTCTTGTATCTTCCGCCTGACATATGTGTGTGCGCGCACACACACACACACGCACACAATAATCCATCACCTGTAAACTCATAAGAGGACTTTGTTAAAAGGTGACTGTCTGTCTCACCATGTGTTCAGGAACTCCAGGAAGGCACTGGAGCAACTGGGCACACATACACCTTCATTCTATCCATTTCTTCTGCAAGTAGTTGGAAGAAAGGAAAGACGGGATGTAAGAAAGTGGAATGAGCAAAGCAAGGATTCTCTCATGCTGCCTTCCATCATGATGGGTGATCTGCCCAGTAAGACTGACAGGATAGTTGGAGACAGGTGTTTGTTTGTGTGAATCCCTGATATTTGTTGTAAGTTGTTGTTCTGTGCCTTCAAGTAATTTTTAACTTAAAGAGACTGAGCGGTCTCCAGACTTAATGCTTATACCACTACACTGGCTCTCATTAAAATTATTTGCCTGGAAATCGAGTGGGGTCTGTGAGATGTTTATGGCTGACACAGAACTCATGAAGTTGGATCATGACTTTGAGGCTGGAAGCACACAGCCTTCCAGATGTTGCTGAATTAAGCTGACAAGGGCTCAGGGGTGTTGCTGTCCAGCAACATCTGGTGGGCCAAATAACACCACATTTAGGATGATTAATGAATTGAGTCTCTAAATTAGAGTAGCGGAGACTGCATTGTTTTTGTAGAACTGTTTATATGATTTGTCCCACTCTGCTAGATGAGGAGTTATGTTTCAAAGTTGTCCTTTTAAAAGATCTTACTGCAATTGTTTTGATACAATAAATTCTTTTAGGACAGATATCTATAAGGAACGATCAGAAAAGATCTTGTAAATGATGGTCCTACCAAAAAGATCTCTACTAGAAAGCATTCAATGGCTGAGGTCCTATGCTGCAAAATATTGGATAAAGATTCCAGACATTTCTTCTCTCAATGCCCTGCATTTACTGTTTAGTTGTTATACTCCCTGAAGGTCATTTAGTGGCTCATGGATAGTAGCAGGGCAGGATCTCAGAAACATCTGACTATATTCCTATAACCATCATCATGGAGCCCCCGGTGGCGCAGTGGGTTAAAGCCCTGTGCAGGCAGGACTGAAGACCGACAGGTCGCAGGTTCGAATCCGGGGAGAGGCGGATGAGCTCCCTCTACCAGCTCCAGCTCCTCATGCGAGACATGAGAGAAGCCTCCCACAAGGATGATAAAAACATCAAATCATCCTGGCGTCCCCTGGGCAACGTCCTTGCAGATGGCCAATTCTCTCACAACAGGAGTGACTTGCAGTTTCTCAGGTCACTCCTGACACGACCAAAAAAAAACCCATCATCATCATTGATGATCCCTTGGGTCCGAGTATCATTGCCTTCCAAGTGTAGGGTCTTGGTGTTGGGTCCGTAGCTGACTGTGGAGATCTATTCTTGACCTGCATGTTCTTTCACAATAAGGACATTGGTTTCCAGATGGAAACAGTCTCGAACAGCATTGGCTAGACACACCTTCCTCTTGATCCATGTCTCCCTTTCACCCTCCATTCGTGCCTCTTTGAATTCCACAGCTGATCTCCAGTTCGAATGCTCAAGGGCCAGGGCTTCCCACTTCTTGGTTTCTATGGCAGTTTTTGAGGTTGATTTTAAGCCTGTCTTTAAACTAGACACAAACTGATGACTTCATCTACCAGGATCTGCCAGGGGTTTCCAGAGGTCTCAGTTGATGATGAAATTGTTCTGCTGTTGGTTGCAAGAACATAACTAGATACTGCTTAGATCTCCTCCTTTCTATCAGGCACTGAATGACCACAAAGGAGGGCATTACTATAGCGAGCCATGGGAAGGCATTTCATTGTGAAGGATGGAAGAGAATACCAGTCTCTCTAACACTTAAAAATGCATATACATATATGTTAGGTTTGTGTTTGTCATGGTTGCTGGCCGTCATGTAGATAAATATATGGATGCTGATCTAGTAGTGAGCCCTTTCATATCTAAAGCACAAGCTGTATCCACACTGGAAAATTATGCATTTCGAACCACACTGACTGTCTTGACTCAATGCCATAGGATTTTTAGTGTTGTGAGATATTTACACTTCTGTGCCATGAACTCTGTTACCACAAAAACTATAAATTCCAGGATTCTATAGGATGTAGTACTTAAAGGGATATCAAACTGCTATAACTCAATGGTCCATGCGGCCTCACAGTCTCATGGGAGGATTGTTAAAACAAAATACATTGAAATGAGTGGGAACTGGGTAAGGAAAGATAGAGGTAGAGATGGAGATGGGGATGGGGATGAGGATGTGGATGGAGATGGGGATGGGGATGGGGATGGGGATGGAGATGGAGATGGAGATGGAGATGGAGATGTAAAATGGAGATAGAATCTCTCATGTATTCTTCATATTTAGTATCCACTAGACCAGGGGTCCTCAAACTAAGGCCCAGGGGCTGGATGCGGCCCGCCAAGGTCATTTACCCGGCCCTTGCTCAGGGTCAACCTAAGTCTGAAATGACTTGAAAGCACACAACAACAATCCTATCTCATCAGCCAAAAGAAGGCCCACACTTCCCATTGAAATACTAATAAGTTTATATTTGCTAAAAATTGTTCTTCATTTTAATTATTGTATTGTTTTAAGTGGTTTTGCACCACAAATAAGATATGTGCAGTGTGCATAGGAATTCATTCTTTTTTTTTCAAATTATAATCCGGCCCTTCAACAGTTTGAGGGACTGTGACCTGGCCCTCTGTTTAAAAAGTTTGAGGAACCCTGCACTAGACACTAAAGAAAATGACTGATCCACTGTGTTAGATTTGTGTTAGATGTTATAAAATTCTGATGATCTGGAAATCATTTCGGTAACAGAACAACGGCCAAAATAATTGATTTCTAATTATCCTATCCTATTCGATTTGTCGTCAATCCACTCCTTTGGCCTTCACACAAATCTACCATTTACAAAAAATATACTATCCTCTGCTTTTCTTTTCCATTTCTGGCCAAACAGCGTAACCATTGGTTCATCCCACTGAGTACGAGGTCTGCCCAAAGGCTACTTGTGGGCTCTTGGTATCCAGTTCATTAGTCCACACGTCCATTGATTGTCTTTTGTTCGTACTATATGCCCTGTACATTACTAGTAATAAATCTACTTGCCCTCCTAAATGTGAAGGACACCTAAACAATTCTGAATTTCCAACACACAAAATATATAGGAGAATGAAAAGCAAAGATAATTGTGTCTTTCTACTATGTTTGCCCTGTTTCTGGAAAGCTTCAAATTGCATATAAACTGTCCATGAAACAAAAAAAAGGTCTACAAATAACAGCAAGTTTTCATACATTTTTCTTGCCCAACAACTTTCAGGGAAGGGTTTTACTGATAGTCGTATTGGCCCATAATTTTTTATTTTTTGATAGTTAATTCTCCTGAAGCTACTTGATTTATCATCTATCTGAAAAATAGCATAGACGATAGATGAAGGCACTAGCTGCAGAGATGGAATTCAGCTTGTGGTTCTAAACTGAGTGGCTATATCTATCTAGCATTACTTTCTTCTAGTATACATTGATGTAAATAGTTTGATTCTATAGAAGTCCCATAAAATAAATATTTCAGCTGGTGCCTGTGGCAAGAATAAGGTTGTCTGAATATGATTTTAGATGTTTATTTATTTATTATTATTTATTTATTGTATTTATTTACCGCCTTTCTCAGCCTGAAGGCGACTCAAGGCAGTTTCTTTCTGGAAATTGACTTCTGGATTTTCTTTACTTAGAGAGAAGCTGAAGCACCAACCTATGAGAAAATTATTCAAGGTAAGCTGGCTTTGACCTTTCTATTAACTCTTGATGCCTTCTAGAGACACTGATAACTTCTAAGGTGTTCCTCAGTCATCCTTTACCTTTCCCAACGGGCCCTTTACAGTTTTGTTCCAGGACAAAATCAAAATCTGTGGATGCTCAAGTGCCATTATATACAATAGCAAAGTAAGTTTTGCTTTTGAGGATTTGGGGTTGAAGCCATGGATACAGAGTGCTGACTGTAGAACTAAGAGAGTTCGCACACAATATTTCTAGTTCTATGCCATTCAAAATATCACTTTCCCATGGCAAACAATTTAATATAATTAATAGTAAATTTCATTGAGTAACGTTCTTTCCAAGAATAAGTATGAAATGCCAGCTTTGCAAGTTCAGCCCACTTTATTGCTTTTGTAATGCTGGGGAATTTATGTTTAATTTCCCTTTAGCACTGTCCCATCAGATGTCTCTGTGTTTGTGGTTATGTAATGAATCTATGAGTGCATCTCCACTGTAGAATGAATGCAGTTTGAGACTACTTTAACTGCCATAGCCCAATGCTGTGAAATCTTGAAACTTGTAGTTTAGTGAGACATCAACCCTCTGCCAGAAAAGACTAAAGACCTTGAAGAACTGTAACTTCCATGATTCCATAGCACTGAGACATGGCCGCTAAAGTAGTGTCAGACTGCATTTAGTCTACAGTTTTAGTTTGAACTATAACATGAGTGTTGTGTTAAGGTTCTACTTTAACTGTAAAGGAGCTAACATGGATGTTGTTTGGAGGACAGGGCTTAACTATTTGGATATAGTTCTTTGAAAACTTAAAGTAAATTTCAAATTTGATACATTGATGGAGAACTTGCCAGTTGCTACTGCTTCTGACCAAGTGACCAGACAGAAACCAAGTGGACAGGTAGCCCACACCCCATCCCCTCCACAAACATGAGATCTCCAGAGGTACAACATTTCATTGATACACCCTGCAGGATTTCTTTTAAGTGGGCATCAAGGAAAACTCAGCAGGCAAAGCAATGTCCAAATGTCAAGGGGCCTATTTATTCAACATGTTTCTAAAACCAAGATTTCCCTTCAACAACTGTGGCTAAAACCTGCAAATGATTTGTAGTTATACTCCCTGAAGGCCAGGTAGGAACTCCCTGGCTGAGAATCTTAAATGCCCTTCATGAAACTGAAAAATTCAAGATTTCCCTGGAAAGAACTATGGCAGTCGCAGTAGAATAATAGTGCTATTATCCTCTAGTGTGAATCACTCAGTGAGAGGTTGGCGGCAATCCTCTATGTTTGATGAAACTGGCCTTCCAGCCCAAAAATGCAGAACCTGGAAAGTTAACTTGGCACATAGGACTCCCACAACCAACAGAAAATTCTGGAAGGGTTTGGTGGGCACTGACCTTGAGTTTGGGAGTTGTAGTTCACCTACATCCGGAGAGCACTGTGGACTCAAACAATGATGGATCTGGATCAAACTTGGCACGAATACCCCATATGCCCAAATGTGAACACAGATGGAGTTTGGGGAAAATAGACGACATTTGGGAGTTGAAGTTACTGGGATTTATAGTTCACCTACAATCAAAGAGCATTCTGAACCCCACCAAAGTTAAGAGTTAACTTTCCAGGTTCTGCGTTTTTGGGCCTTACAGCCCAAAAACGCAGAACTTGTAAAGTTAACTCTTAAGAATAATACAGACATTTCTCAAGTTTGGAGGTTTTCGCACTTGTGATTTTAATGATTTGTGATTCTGCCCCACTGTTCCCACCTAGAGTTGGGGCTACAGTGTGAAGATTCACATGGCACTCCAGTCCTCAGGAGATAGGAGGAGGTCAAGGATCATTACACACACTACTTGGAAGAGGAAAACAAGCTGGGTAGATGAAGCAGTGCACAGGTCCAGCTCCTCCTTTTCTTCCCCTTGTGACCCAAAGGGTAGCCCTCCCAGGATTGCAGTGGTGGTGCCCCATCTACTTGGAACCATGGCAGGTAGCTGCCACACTTGTGGGGCTGTATCGTTTATGCTCCATGTGCAATTTTTATATTTTCTTTTTTTTAAAAAAATAGTTTTTATTGAAAGAATATATAATTACATGGAAAGTGGGGGAATAATTTAAAGACATTTTCATATTTTCATGTTTTTATATTTTCACTAGCCATCCCCTGCCACGCATTGCTGTGGCCCAGTCTGGTGATCTGGAAAATGAAGTAATGAGAAAGTGTTGGTTTCTAATCTATGTAATGTCTTGATGCTTGTGGGTAAACAGTATTTCTTGCTGTTTCTTTGTCAATGTTGATGTGGAGATTGTCTAGTTTGCCTACTTTGGAACATGCAACATATTATTGTCCTTCTTTTGGGGTCCCTTTCAAATCTATGATACTATATCTGTGCGTGTGTGAATCATATATCTACGGCTGGATGGCTCTTTGTCAGGAGGGCTTTGATTACATTTTCTTGCCCTGGTGAAGAGAGTTGGACTGGATGGCCTTAAGTATTTTCTATTGGTCATGGGGGTTCTGTGTGGGAAGTTTGCCCCAATTCTGTCATTTGTGGGGTTCAGAATGCTCTTCGATTTTAGGTGAACTATAAATCCCAGAAACTACAACTCCCAAATGTCAAGGTCTATTTCCCCCAAATGCCATCTGTGTTCATATTTGGACATATGGAATATTCATGCCAAGTTTGGTCCAGATCCATCATTGTTTGAGTCCACAGTGCTCTCTGGATGTAGGGTAACTACAACTCCGAAACTCAAAGTCAATGCCCACCAAACCCTTCCAGTCTTTTCTGTTGGTCATGGGAGTTCTGTGTGCCAAGATTGGCCCAATTCTATCGTTGCTGGAGTTCAGAATGCTCTTTGATTGTAGGTGAACTATAAATCCCAGCAACTACAACTCCCAAATGACAAAATCATAATTTTTGAGTGCTGGTCACTCCTTGTGTTGTGAGACGTTTTGTTGCCAAATTTGGTGTGATTTCGTTCATTGGTTCTTTTGTTTTTAAGGTACTCATTATGCACAGAACATTTTTATATATATAGATGAGGGGAGGCGGCACCTATAATCCTCAAGTGGAGGAAGGACTGTAACATCCTATGGGAGTCATATATAAGAAAGTAGTGTTGAGAAGGGGCTCTGTTATAGACAGCTTCAGCATGGTAGGGTGGCCATTCTTCTTAAAAAACAAATAGCCAAGCTCTGCTGATTTGTGAGAGATGCTGCTGCTCAGTCACAAGAGCTGAAGTGACGTTGAAGAACCAGAGCATGTGACGTCCATATATGGAATTGCGGTGGCGGCATTACTGGGAATCCTGCTTTCTTACGCAACCAAAGGGTTTGGGCCGACATCTGCACAAATCTTTGTTCCTAAGAGGGGGAAAGAAACAAAGGGAGAGTAGAGACCTCTCTAATATGCAGTGGCAGCCCAACCACAGCTGCTGCAAGCTAGACAGCTTCCAGATTGCTAAAATTATCTCATCTCTCAGTCATGGGAACCTCAGTGCCTTCACTTTAAGAAGAAACGTCAGCAGAGTAAAGGCCTAGTTTAATGCCTCTTCAAGCACTGGTGTGTGTTATTGCCTGTTTGGCAGTTGTAGAAGGAAAGAGTAAAGAAACACGTGACATTTTAAAATTAAAATGTCAACATATTTTGTAAACCCTTTTCTGTGTTAAGCTTCTGCCTGATTATAAGGACTTTATTGCATGAAGCAGGTATTCCATTGCAATTGCACTATGAAAGATCATGGATTTTACATACTGGGATGCGTGCTTTCAATATCACACCTCTCTTCAGACCTCAACATATTAACTACTGGTTTTGCCATAGCTCGTGGTGAATCCAGCAGGAGGTGGGGGGAACCCGTCACCCCATGTCCCACATTACTCGCCTTGTCCCTCACTCCATCCCTTAGGGGATGCATCCGACACCCTGCTTTCCCCAGTTGTTCCTTATGCCACCGAGGAAGCCTCCCATGTTGTTGCTGCTGCAGCCAATGCTGATTTCACCCCTCTTCAGTTTTGAAGCCTCACCAGAAGTAGATGAACATTGTGGGTTGGGAGCCGACGAGCTCTGTGCCTGAAGAGGGGTGAAAGCAGTGTAGGACGTGCAATTTTGTCGGTCTGATGAGGCCATTCATATGTGCAATTGTGTCAAATGCCAATCCATGGTCCCGTAATTGTACTTCCGCATATTTTTGCAATCCCATTTTCCCGAATTTCCAATGTTCTGCAATTGTTGAGCAATTTTGCAGTTTCAGTAATGAACAACAAAAAGGCAACTATATTTATTTATTTATTTATTTCATACATTTATATCCCGGTCTTCTCCCCACAAGGGGGACTCAGCGTGGCCTCACATGAGCATTAGAGGATGCTAACAGCATAAATACCATAAAATTACAATTCACAATTTTTTTTAATTTATTTTTTTTATCATGTCAGGAGCGACTTGAGAAACTGCAAGTTGCTTCTGGTATGAGAGAATTGGCCGTCTGCAAGGACGTTGCCCAGGGGACTCCCAGATGATTTTGATGTCTTTATTGTCCTTGTAGGAGGCTTCTCTCATGTCCCTGCATGAGGAGCTGGAGCTGATAGAGGGAGCTCATCCGCCTCTCCCCAGATTCAAACCTGCGACCTGTCGGTCTTCAGTCCTGCCAGCACAGGGGTTTAACCCACTGTGCCACCAGGGGCTCCACAATTCACAATAAAATCATTTTAAAACATTATACAACATCATCCATAAAATTTAACAATAAATTAATAGATCAACGTGACAGTAAAACCAAGCCGAGCCAAGAGAATCCAAATCGCAAATTTCCTTTTTCTATTGCCGCTGGCCTCTAATCAAACGCCTGGCCCCTGAGCCAGGTCCTCAGTTGTCTTCTAAAGGACAGGAGGGAGGTGGCCAACCTGATATCCTTAGGTAATATTTAAAATCAGCCTAAAACCGACAGTTCAAGAACAGTGACGAGAGCAATAGAAGTGAGAGAAGAGTAGAATCCCACCCCGTGACATCACTTTTTCATTGGGGTACTGGCCCAGAAGTGGAACAGACCCATCACACAAGGTTGGTGAAAGGCATATTGCAAGATCGAGAGCTATTGATGGGTCTTGCCCATCAACTGCAGGGGACAGGTTAATTGCAGGGAGAAGGAAGATTGACAGTCCAGCTATAATGCCAGTTCACCTTCTCATCCAATAAAGTCTTTAGACACAAGGAATTAGTAAATATTTTAATTAACTATACTTGCAATGTATGGTGTATCATCTATCATTTATCTATCTACATCTAGCAGTCTATCTATCTACCTCTCTGTGTCAGTAACTATACTAATGATACCTACACCCAACTCTTTCCACTCTCCCTCTCAGTCTCCATTTCCTTTGGTTACATGCAACATCAATAATTCTGCAGTGTAAAGGAACATTGTATAGTCCATTCATGGAACTAATTATGGAACTAATTTCAGTGGTTTATTGAAGGGATGATGTGGGCAGTGGCAGATTTACCATCGTGCAGGGACGGCTCAACCAATTACACAAAGTAAGCATTTGCAGTATAGTTGATTTTGCCCAGGGGCACTCTTGAGGCACTCTTGGGGGAAAATAGACCTTAACATATGCAAGTTGTAGTTATTGGGATGTATAGTTCACCTACAATCAAATAGCATTCTGAACTCCACCAATGATGAAATTGAACCAAATATGGCACACAGAACTCCCACGACGAACAGAAAATATATAGTGATTGGTTTTGGGGGGGGGGGGCAAAATACTGTTTGCTTACAATTGAAAATTATCTAGGGCCGCCTCTGCCATCGTGCTAAGTTGTGTTTAAGCACAGATCCTCATTGACTTGGGGGTGGGGGGGGGTCTTCCTGCCATTTTGTTGTTTACTATGGATTTTGCTTATGTGGTGCAATTTTAAATTTGAGGGCATTCTGTTTTGGAGGAATTCCAGACATAATGACAAAGCTGTCTATGAGAGTGTGCCACAAAACAGGCAGTGTAGGCCTATTAGGATGACCTCCTTCCAAGGAAGGGGCCCCATAACTTAACAAGCACAGGGCCTCATTTGTCCTAAATCTGACACTGGATGTGGGTTTGACAGTTTCTGTAGGTTGTGTGTGTTGCGCTATAGGTCTATATATCAAGATGCACATATAGGCCCACAAGCAGAAGTCAAATGGAAACACAGACATCAGGAAATGCCTATTACAACACAAAGCCACAATAGCTAATACTTGAAGCCACAGTAGACAATTAACCCCAGCTAGAGCATGGGACGATAATGTGATGCATTCCCTCAGGTTCTCTCTGATACAATGCTAAGTGAGGTGGCCTCTCTGCAGTTTCTGTCCATTAAAGACAGGAGAGCAGATTTGGATGAGAGGCAACTCAATGCACTGGGAAACTCTCTTGAGCAGATTCCAAGAAGTTGAAAATGAAGTCGACAAAGACGGGACAATGTTTTTGTTCAGTTCTTTGCTCCAGCAAGGTAGACACAGGAGAATTTGCTTGTGCATTTTACCTATGTCCATTGTCGGAAAGAGTAAGTGTATTGGAATTTCCACCCAAACTACTTAGATTTGGGGTTTATACACACTACATAATGATAGTGCTTTGGTGGCACTTTAGCAGACAAGCTCCCAGCATATGGAATTCTGGGATTCAAAGTTTGTTGGGGAGGAACTTTTTAAACAAGTATCAGTTAACAACACAATAATTGAGGTTTACTAGCAGACCAGAAGTGAAGATAAACCCTTATAATAGTGGTTCCCAACCCTTTTTTGACCAGGGACCACTTGGACCAGTTATCACTTGACGAGGAACCACTTCAGCCAGGGATCACTCTCCAACATTAGCACCAAAAGGGTTATGAATCAGTTTTTGGTCAACTTTAGATTTGGTTTGGTTATTTGTGGTGTGGATTCAGAAAACTGCATTGGATATTTATTTATTTACAGCTTTTATATTCCGCCCTTCTCACCCCGCAGTGGACTCAGGGCGGATTACAGAGTACACATATATGGCAAACATTCAATGTCAATTTTTGACATACAAATATATACAGACATACACAGAGGCTCTTTTAACTTTTCTGGCCGCCAGGGGAGCTGTCACTTTCATCGTCCATCTGCAACGCTGATGGAGCACTTCTGCATTCCCCGCATGCTTCCCCGCTGGAATGCTTTGCTGGAGTCTTCTTTATGGCCTCATAAATCAGTTAATTTAGCCTCCCCACACTTTAAAGTAGTACCTTATTTTCCTACTTGACAGATGCAACTGTCTTTCGGGTTGCAAAGGTCAACAACAGGTTACACTCAATTGGTTGGAAACCCACTCCAACCCGGGCTGGCTTCGAACTCATGACCTTTTGGTCAGAGTGATCTTAATGCAGCTGACACTCAGCCAGCTGCGCCTATAGATCGACCACATCAGCTCTAGTTTCTGATACAGAACATATGCCATCCACTAGTCACCATCTGCTTGCCCACAGAAAACCATATTTAATAATCTAGAGCTAATGTGGTCTATCCAATGCAATTTTCTGTTGTTGGACTGTAATCCTAGCTGCCCAAGCTAGCACAGTCAATGCTGAGGAATGCTGCTACCTACATATGGTCCAACATTTCCCAGATGAAAACTAAGACATGTTTGGTCAAACATCACAGTGAGGTCAAGACAGTAACAGTTTCTGTGGTGGAAGTACACAAAAGCTCAGACAAAACAACAGTTTGCTGCCTTTTTAAAACATCTTATTTGCTTTAACAGGCGAGAGACCTCCCGAAGAAAAGCCAGCTGCTCATCTAACATTAGGTAAGAAAACTTCTACTTGAGGCAAATTTTCTCCCTTTTCTCAAGCCTTTCACAGAGGCTATGTGCTGTGGGACTGGAATATAAATGAGTGAGAAGAAATGAGCAGGGTCCCATGGTTTAGAGCAGGCATGGGCAAACTTCAGCCCTCCAGGTATTTTGGACTTCAACTCCAACAATTCTTAACAGCCAGTAAGCTGGCTGGGATTTCTAGGAGTTGAAGTCCAAAACACCTGGAGGGCTTAAGTTTGTCCATGCCTGGTTTAGAGAAACAAGTTCATATTCGCAACTCAGATTTTTCTGTAGTCTGACGGGTTTGTGACACATGCAAGAACTAAACAATCTGAACGTAAAAGGGCTGAAATAAACAGCTACGGTCATAATTGGAGCCAGCACCAGGCTGGAAGGGCCCTGAGCAAGGCATCACCATTGAGCCACCAATATCAATCTGCCCTTCACCTCCACCTAGCAGTGTCTTGGGTCCCTAGTTACTTGCTTGGCAGCAGGTAAGTACCTTCCCTCTACAAAAAGATGGCTACCATTTTTTGTTTTCCAAAATGCAATGCCTGGCATTAGTCTCAGGTATTGTAACTATAGGAAACTCAGTATGGATTTGAGTTGAGCTTAACCTCAGAAACCTTGTCACCGAAGATGAAGATGGCTCAAAGGAAGAGAAATCATTGCTTGGGTCTAGAGGTCTCCAAGTGACAATGGCCTGAGGCAGGATAGGAAGGTATATAGAAGGCAAGTATTGATGGGAGAGACAGCAACCCAATTGAAAGTGGATAGATGCTCTAGTGCAGTGGTTCCCAACCTATGGTCCGTGGACCACCAGTGGTCCACAGGAATTATAATATGACATGGATTTGAGTTGAGCTTAACCTCAGAAGCTTTGCTACTGAAGATGAAGATGGCTCAAAGGAGGACCAGTTATTGCTTGAGTCTAGAGGTCTCCAAGTGACAGTGGCCTGGGACAGGATAAGAAGGCATGTTGAAGGCAAGTGTTGTTAGCAGAGATAGCAACCTGATTTAAAATGGAGAGATGCTCTAGTGCAGTGGTTCCCAATCTGTGGTCCGTGGACCACCAGTGGTCCGCAAGAACTATAATATGGTCGGCAGCCTCACTCTTACTACCCCACAAAACCCTCTTATAGTGCTGAGGCTTATTAAATATGGTTTTCTGTGGGTGAGCAGATGGTAATTACTGGATGGCATATGTTATGTATCAGAAAATAAAGCTGATGTGGTCTATACAATGCAGTTTTCTGAATCAGCACCCCAAATAACCAAACTGAATCTAAAGTTGACCAAAAACTGATTTGTAACCCTTGTGGTACCTATGTTGGAGAGTGGTCCCTGGTCAAGTTGTCCCTGGTAAAGTGGTCCCTGGTCAAAAACAGGTTGGGAACCACTGCTCTAGTGTGATGAGGAAGTAGGTGTTAAGTCTGGTCAGAAAACTAAACCTGTTCCTTGCCAAGGTGATCACCCTGCATTTAGGTTGTACCTCATCAATGTACAGATGAGAATTCTCTGGAATAGTCCTGCTTACCAAAAATACAAAATAGAAGGCAATACAATCACTTGAGCCCCAATTACTAGTGTGTAGTTATTTTATTTGCTAGAACCTATGAAATTGTTGACCTACAGTTGTATTTTGTGGGACTTTTATGTCTCCTTTTGAGATGGTTGAGAGTAATAGTCATCTAAGGGGGTCTCAGCCTACAGCAGAGTTTCTCAACTTCTGTTTCTCCAGGTGTTTTGGACTTCAGCTCCCACAATTCCTAACAGCTGGGATTTCTGGGAGCAGAAGTCCAAAATACCTGGAGGAGCAGAATCATAGAATCATAGAGTTGGAAGAGACCTCGTGGACCATCCAGTCCAACCCCCTGCCAAGAAACAGGACAATCATGTTCAAAGCACCCCCAACAGATGGCCATCCAGCCTCTGTTTAAACGCCTCCATTGAAGGAGCCTCCACCACACTTCAGAGTAGAGAGTTCCACTGCTGAACAGAGTTTGAGAAACGCTAGTCTGCAGAAAGAGATGGATGTAAAAATGGTGTTTGTGTTAAACTTAGGTACATTTGTAAGCATTGTTCTCTTATACTAAAATGCAGACTTGGACCAAGTTTTTAGATCGGTTTCTTTGTTAAGTATGTTTAACTAAATAATATCTCCTAGCTTGAATCCCTACTTCCCAGGCTTGAGCTGCTACAAGTGACAGGGATCTATTCTCAAGGTGCAGCAGACTGACATTTTATTTTCCATCCCTCCTTTCAGTGAGATAAATAGAAGTAGGATCCCTGTTGCACTTCGTCCTTGCATCAGAGATTATTTGCTTGTTGTGTAGGAAGCAATGGGGTAAAGCCACACAGTCAACACATCCCCCTGTGAGATCAGCTTCCTGTCAGGCCAGGTGATGTGGAGCGATGGGTTACAAGGTCATTAGTAGTGATCACCCATAGGAATTCTGCTTTTATTTACATTCCCAAACCTGGAATTATTATTAATTTATTAATTTATTTATTTCGAACATTTTTACCCCGCACTTCTCAACCCCAGGGGGGACTCAGGGTGGCTTACAATTGGCAATAATTCAATGCCGCATCATAAAATACAGAATAACAAATATCACAATTAAACATGAACATTAATAAATAAAGATTAAAACAACATACTTACACTCTGATTAGCTATTGCCCGTCTGGTGGCTGTATAGCTAGCCATCTACTAATGATTACTCCGCTTAACTTATCCAAATCCTCTTCCATGCCATAGTCAACATTATCGATTGTCCTTTAACCTGATTGCCCAAAGGCCTGGTCCCACAGCCACGTTTTAACCTTTTTTCTAAAGGTGAGGAGGGATGACGATGACCTAATTTCCCCAGGGAGCAAATTCCACAGGCAGGGGGCCACCACCGAGAAGGCCCTGTCCCTCGTCCCCTCCAAGTGTGTTTGAGACAAAGGCGGGGCCGAGAGCAGGGCCTCACCAGATGATCTTAAACTCCGAGGTGGGACGTAGAAGGAGATACGTTCGGACATGAATTCACCTTGAATGCAAACAATGAGTAATAGAGGAGTATATGTTAAACCCAAATGTTTTAAATGCAACCCCATTTCAAATTCATTGAAAAGGGACATAATTATTTGTTCACTTCTGCAATCCCTACAAGGAAAATTTGTGAAGACATAAGTTGTCATATTTTTCAGGTGCCTTGGTCAATACAGCTGACAATGGAGCCCTGCTGTGGGAGGACAAAAAAGGACTTGCCTTTCACCAGGGCATGGGCTACAAGGATGGTTTCCTTATCTTTAACCAATCTGGACCCTACTACATCTACTCAAAGCTCTTCCTGGGAGATTCAAGCTGCCTCAGTGCTTCCCAGATGGTCATTCACAAGATTTGTAAGAGGACTTCTCGGTATCCTAAGGAGATAGTGCTGCTGACCAACAAAATACTGACTTGCAGCTTGCAGAACACCTCAAGCTGGAGACGCAGCAGCTTCCTTGCTGGAATAGTTCATCTCGAGGAAAACGAAGAAGTATTTGTCACAGTGTCTCATAAACGGATGGTACGGGTTGGGGATGACACGCAGTCATATTTTGGCACTTTCATGATCTGAAGGAGACCAGAACTGAGGGTGGACTGTGAATTCTGTGGAGCAAGAAGAACAGTTTCTTCCTTATACTGCTATGATGCCCCATAGCCTCAATCCTGCACTGTTAGCTTGATCCTTTTTCAAATACAGTAAAAGAGGCACCAGAATGAGGGTGGGGGACTTCTTTGCAGACAGGGGAGAGACCTGTTCACAGGGGCAGAGATACATTTGCATTTATGGTTGGATAGGGCTGCACTAACTAAAGTAAAGTAGATATTTAACATAAACATGGCAAGGGACTGCTCTAGATGCATGGGCAGGTAGCTCAAAGCCTTTTCTATCTTCTTCAAAAGCTATCTGAGACCATATGTGAATACATTCTCTTGGTTTCACATGCTGTAAAATAAAAATGTAAGAAATAGAGATTCACTCACCATTGGCCCTGTTCAAAAAGGACCATGTGCCACCAAATCAATTGCAAACTCATTTGTTGTAGAGTGGACTACTCTTCTTGTTCTGTAGCTAGTTTTGGCTTTTCCAAGGTGGGCCCTCAATTTCTGCTGGGGTTTAATTCCAGGACTCCCCCTGGATATTAAAATCAATGGGTGCTCATCCCACAGTGGCATTGTGTCTCTTATGTAAAATTGCAAAATTAAGGTAAATACAAAATTTCAATCTAATCAGAATCTCTGAGAAGCTGTCTTTAGTACAGTGTGCAAAGATAAATGACAGAAGAGGAGGCTTCTGTCATCATCTTTGAATTGAGTCCTAGAGGAAAACAAATCTAGGTTATCCTAACGGCCAAAGTAGGCAAACTGAAGCTATCATACTTTGGACATATCATAATATGGCATGGCCGATTAGGAAAGACAATAATTGTTGGTCAAGTAGAAGACAATATGGAAAGAAGAAGGGCTACAGAGGGATAGACACAATCAAAGAAGCCAAAGTTTTTCAAAAAAGCCACACATCACTTTTGTTGACAGCGTGTCAATGTCAACTTTATGTCCATTAATAACAAAGTGATTTAAGTGTTAGTCTGGAAGTCTGTGAGATCAGGGTTTGAACCTTTACTTGGCCATGGAGGTGTAGAGTCCACTGTGGTTGATACCTTTGTCTATCGTTGCTATCAAAAGTATGGGGGAAGCAAACGTTATGCATTCTTCTCCTTGAGTTCTTCCATCAACCCTATAAATCAATATGTGAAGCCTCCAATCAATCCAGCTTGTCAGTGTCTTGACAGGCATTTCTATCGTATGTCCCTATGCTTTATTTATTTTAAGAATAATCTTTAACACTTCAAGTATTCTAGAAAGAACTGTGTACAGTATAGTTAGCTAGCCATCATTTCAGAAACCCACTGGTATGCACAAGTAGCTGCTTTTTCTATCCCTATCTTAAATTACAAATATTACTGAAGAAGTTTTCTGTATCACTGAGGTCAGGTGAGGGTGGCTGAGAATGACAACAGTACCTTCTGATTCAGCTTCCTGGGGGATCCCTGAAAGTCAGCGATCACAAAGTGAGTAGAGTCTCCTCACAAATATCATACAATCTAACCAGTCAGATTTGCCTACCTGCCCACTGTGGGGCAATATGCAGTACAACTTCAATATCTATGTATTGTCGAAGGCTTTCATGGCTGGAATCGCTAAGTTCTTGTGGGTTTTTTCGGGCTATATGGCCATGTTCTAGAGGCATTTCTCCTGACGTTTCGCCTGCATCTATGGCAAGCATCCTCAGAGGTAATGAGGTCAGGTGAGGTCAATATCTGCTCCTAAACTTACTGTGGAAACTGGAAACCATAGACCATAGATAACTCTACTGAAATGAATGACTTGTATTGGACATTACCATAGAATCGCCATGGAGGTCTTTGAAAAGTCCTGGAGAGTTATCCTTTCTATGAATTTGCTAAATCCTCCAATGTGACCCAATGACATCTTCCAACAGAAACATACCGTAGAATCACTTGGAAGACCTAAGAGGACATACTTTATCGGGGCAGGTGACTGTAAATTATATACAACACAAGATCATTAAAAAAGAAATCTGTCTTGCGACCCTACTGTTAATGTATTGCCAAAAGCACACCGCTGTAATGATAAAGTAATGGAATAAAGTATCTGTAATCCAAATGGTATATTGGCCTTTGTCTGCATGATAAGAGAGAAATATACCTCAACACCCAACCTGGATTAGAACGGGACATTACACTGAGCCCTCTGAAACTTATGAGCAAGACCAGCACAAGTGTGGGACAGCTTAATATGCATTTTAATCGCACTGGTTTGGATGATATATTTAAGGGAAGTCCTACCATCTTCAGTAGGGCTTAGTCCAATGGAATGACACATCACACCATCAACTACCTAGTGCAATTGCTATGGCAATGTGATCTACCAAGCTGAAATAAACAAAAGTGCTCTGAAAGCTCAGCTAATGCAAATGCAGTGACCAAGACCTTCGAAGAGACTAGTTTTGTGATGTGCATAACACCACTATTATGAGCTTCATGATTTTCCCAATCATTTCCAAGTATGATTAAAAGGGCAGACAATTAGTTGAAAATTTTAAAAAATCAGGGTTATGTTCTGATTATATTATGCAACTTTGTAATAAGTGACAATGTTGCACACATACATTTAAAACTGACCATGCATTGATATGCACATTGGCAGCCATGGGCACAATGATAAAACACAAGTCAGATTCAGTAATCTTGAATATAATGTGGATTTTAGAGAATTGATTTCATAGTTTAACTTAGGCCCCTTCCACACTGCCATATAAAATCCAGATTATCTGCTTTGAACTGGATTATATGGCAGCGTAGACTTATATAATTTAACCTTTCGAAAAGTTTTGAACATTTTTTTCTGTGAAAATCAGAATTGACTTTAGAATCAAACTACCAGTGCCTCCTACATCCGAAATGAGTTTTGGACCATTTTTTTTGGATCAAACAAACCTACTAACAACAACAAATGTTATCAACACACATGAGTCATGGCTATTTGTAGTGATTACTTTAGAAGATAATCCATAACCTCTAACATTTCACAGAGGAAAAAAAAGGGCCTCTTCACATGGGGCATTTTTGCCTCATTTTGCTGCTTTTATGCTTCACAAGGATAGGACCTGCCATGCGTCGTCACATAATGCATAGCAGGCCCCATCCACATTCCTCCCAAAGTAGAGGAGAAGCATCAAAAGGCACTTTCTCCTCCACAACGGGGAGAAAGGCATAGTTTCCTTTTAGTCATAGTTTCGCACTTTCCTCCCCTTTTTTCTGTGTCATGGCAGTAAGGGCTCTTTCTGCCATCTGATGGGGAAAGGGAAAGGATGCCAAAGCACCCTCTACTGTCCCTTCCATTGGAGCAAATCAATCTAATTGAAGAGCAGCTTTGGAACAGGCAGCTTACAAACTGGATGCATATTCAAAGAAACTTGAAGCAAAGTACAAAAAACTGGAGAAACAATGAAAGGACATTATGCCACGAGCCACCCCACGCACCTTCCCTTTTGCTGGCGATTGCCAAAGCCGGCACAACAGCACAGCTCAGAAGGGTCATCAGGTTGTGGTCAAGATGAAAAAACTCAGTTCTTGTGGGTTTTTTTCGGGCTATATGGCCATGTTCTAGAGGCATTTCTCCTGACGTTTCGCCTGCATCTATGGCAAGCATCCTCAGAGGTGAGGTCCTCACCTCACCTCTGAGGATGCTTGCCATAGATGCAGGCGAAACGTCAGGAGAAATGCCTCTAGAACATGGCCATATAGCCCGAAAAAACCCACAAGAACTGAGTGATTCTGGCCATGAAAGCCTTCGACAATACATTAAGATGAAAAAAGCTGTAAATGAGGAAGAATACACAAGCTAGGAAATGCTACATCAGCTTGCTTTTGCCTGAGTCAACGAAGAAGGACAAAATCCCACTCCTTTTTGAGTTCATTGAGTGCCAGCTATTTTTGCACTTTAAACTCAGTTTGCAGTAGTTGGAGTAAATGGAGGGCCCCTCCAGACATTACTTTTATCTCAGGAGCTCCTGTAGCAAACAGGAGGCTGGTCAGACGCCAAACGGCAAAAACTGTGAGATTTACAGGTATGGGAATATCCTGGTTCTGGGCCTAAAATCCCAGGTTTCAAATGTCTGTTCCTGATTGGTCAGTTCCAGCCAAATGTCCTGTGGCAGCCATCTTGGGGGCTGCAAAATCCTGGGACAAAGCAGGAAGGGTGGACTACGGAGTCAGACATCCTGGGACCAACAGGTCTGTGTGCAAACCTGCTCACAAGTCCCGGGTTTTCTGCCCCTAATTAAAGTGTGCAATTTGGTGCTGTCTGGAACTGCCCTGAGAACAAAGGGGAAACTAGGAGGAGCAGAGAGATTGTTCCAGATCACTTCACCTCAATTTATGAAAACAAGTGCAGCTTTTTAGCAGCTTGTGTTCCCCTCCTCAACACACACACACACTTACACTTAATGTGTGTTTCAGCCAAGTGTTGCAGACCACAGGAAATGCTCTCTGTCATGCGAGCAAACCCCCTCTGATGCGGTTTGACTAAAAGGAAACATATTTGAGGCACAGCAGAAGCGAGGTGAGTTAGCGTAATGGTTTTCCTGACATCTATCGCTTTCATTGCACCCAAGATAACCCGCTTTGCCGTGGATTTCTGATCCCACTCCTATCCATAAACCTGGGCTTTCCCGGGTGGGATGTTACATGCCATTCTGATTACAAACAGGATAGCATGCAGCCCCCCAAAGCTCCCCAAATGTATCACTAAAAAGTTTTTAAAAACTTACCTGGCTGCCATAATGTTCCTCCTTGCACTCCCCTGGCATGAGGAAATGATGCGCTAGGAGGTGGGGAAAGGGGCTGAGGGGGGCCAGGTAAGATTTGTTTACTTTTTAGGGGAAAATTTGGGGTTTGAGGAAAGCGGCGGGTACCCTCTCAGGTTTTTTTGGGCTCCTGGAGCTCGAAAAACTGAAATGGCTGTGTGGATTGGGCCCAGGAATTGTTTGATGCAGTCCCCATATTAATTAATTAAACTAGGTGTTTAATTAATTCAGAACAAACCAGGGAAACCCTGGTTTGCTCCAAATTAATTTGGTTTTACAGGAGAAGTCATTTGGATGCCTCCAGTGAAATCAAGACAGGTCCTGCATTTTTGGGCCTGTCTTGATGGGCCCTGATTCATAGGTAAATCCTATTAATTTAATATGTCTACTTTAGTCAGGTGTAACAATATAATCAGTACGAACTTATAGTGAGTCCGTGTGGTAACAGAACTGAGTTCAAAGCAGATAATCTAGATTTTATATGGCGGTGTAGAAGGGGCCTAAGTTAAACTATGAAAGCAATTCTTTAAAATGCACATTGTATTCAAGATCACTGAATTTGAGTTGCATTTTATCATTGAGCCCATGGCTGCTGATGTGCTCAATGCACATTCATTTGCAAATCCATGTGGGCAACATTGCTATTTACTACAAAGTTGCATAATCCATAATCAGAGTAAGCCTCTTTATTCTGAAAGCTGTCAAGAAAAGAGAACATTTCCTGAAAGAAGAACCAGGAAAATAAGATTCTGACTGTAAACAGAAGGTCAGCTGCTGTCCTCTCCTTTTTCCCTTGTCTTCTACTTGTGTTG